TTTAACAATCATTTGTATTTCTGTGGGGTCTGTTGTTATTTCGCCTCTATCGTTTCTGATTTAGGGAGCCCAGTCTTGATGGGCTGTCCACAGGAGGGGACATTCATGGGAGGAGCTCAAAATCAACAGAATAAATATCAAAAGAAAAGTTGGGAAGCATAATTACCTAGGGTAAAGCTCAAAATCGGTGGAGGTTACTCAAGGACTAAGAGGCCCTTAATTTACTGCTCATATCAGAGAAGCCAGATATAAAAATTCTATAGACTAAGGATTCAATTTTTATAATCATAATCCTCTTTTATGGAACTATTTCTTCAGAAAAAAATTTCTTATATAAAAGTGAATAAATGATCACATATGTCATCATTTCTAGGCTATGTGACCTTGAGCACTTGATCTCTAAGCTTCAGTTTCCTCATTGTAAAACAGGCTAATAATCTGACAATGGTTGGGTTCATTTAATGGTAGTATGAGAAAAGTGAAAAAAAATGGATATAGCCCTGGCTGGTTTGCTCAGTGGCTGCAGGGGTCCTGAAACTTTTTAAACAGGGGGCCAGTTCACTGTTCCTCAGACCGTTGGAGGACCGGACTATAGTTTAAAAAAAAAACTATGAACAAATTCCTATGCACAGAGCGGCGGCAAAAAACACCCAGTGGGCTGGATAAACGTTTTCGGTGGGCCGCATGTGGCCCATGGACCGTAGTTTGAGGAACCCTGGTTAGAGCATTGGCCCTCGGACCTAAGGGTCATGGGTTTGATTCCCAGGCAAGGGCACATACCTCGGTTTCAGGTTCCCTAGCCCCAGTAGGGGCTCGTGCAGGAGGCAACCAATTGATGTGTATCCCTCATGTCAATGTTTCACTCTCTCTCCCCTTCCTTCCTCCCTTCCATCTCTCTTTTCCCCTCCTCCCTCCCTTACATTCTGTCTAGAAATCAATGGAAAAAATATCCTCAGGTGAGGATTTAAAAAAAAAAAGAAAAGAAAAAAATGACATAGTAAAAATTACCCTTAAAGGCCCATAAATCAACCCTAAGCAAACATGGTCTTGTATATCCTACACTAGTACTCATTAAAACCAACAAAGCCGATGTCGATCATAGCTTTGGAACATATAAAGCCTCAGATAATTAAGATTCCCAATCCCCCTATCCAAGCCCCTTGGAATGAGACACATTTCAGGTTTCTTCAAATTGAGAAAAGTTGCATATTTTATAATACTCCCAGTAGATTCTGAGACAGCATCCCACAAACAAACATTATTATCCTGAAGTGGAATATATGCAGGTCTTCAAATTATGTCATTTTGTTATTGACATTGATGAGATGCCTAGAAACTAAACTCATTTATATCAATTAGCCTATGGTAAAAATGGTTTCGTTACATGTTGTTTTGCTTAAGGTCTCAGAACCCATTGACCATGTTAAGCAAGGACTGACTGTGTGACTATTCATTGTAAAGGAGGCAGAAATTATATATATGTGTGTGTGTGTGTGTGTGTGTGTGTATATATATATATATATATATATATATATCTCCTCATGTTGATTCAGATCAGGTTGTGCCACTGAAGTTTTGATTTTCACAATTTGTTGGGTTACAAAATTGTTGGCTAGTGTCAGCCTATGTCTTGGACCCAAACAATGCCAAAAAAGAAGTAACTTTTTTCAAAATATACTGAGAGTCTATTGTTCAATTTACTCAAGTCAAATGAAATGAAAACAAACAAAAACTATTTACCAGTTATGTCTTCCCTCCCCTCACTTTCCTGCAAATTAAACACTGACCTCCATTATTGCAAAATCAGGGACACAGTCCTGGCAAAAATGCAAACAGAAATAAGAGAAGCTAATTCCTAGCTTTAGGGCTTTCAAGAGGCTGTGTTAAGGGTGACTTGATCGTTAATAGTAATTTTAACCTCATGCACTGATTTAAAACTCTAGACTGCAAGTATGTCAAACTCAAAGGCTAACATGGGCCAAATAAACAAGGTTTAAGTTTATGTAGACTGCAAAAAAACAAAAGCTTCAATTTTCATAGAAATGTAGGTTTATTTCTATAAAGACATGCTGAATACAAAGGGCTGAAATAAATGAGTAATCATTAACATCAAATAACAAAATTTTAATAAAAATTACTTTTTCTTGAACATTAACTTACCAGACACTGAATAACTGCACAAATTAATAAGCATAACACAAATAAACCTATTTTTCTTGTTCTCCAAAAGTGAAATATTTCCTGTTGTGCACACCAAACAAGTCAGTATAAGACTAATGATGTGGCAATCGGCTGCTAAAATATTCGCTGCTAGTATTAGTGGAGAGAAATGGTGCACCTGTGTGTAAGGTGCGTAAGGGAAATGAACGCAACATGATTATAGTAATCAGTCATTAGAGAACATTGTAGTTCATTATTAATAATTTTATATATCAGGATATTGTAAAAATTAAGTTATGAAATTTTTATTAAAACGTTTCTTACATACTGTTATATTGGCTGGGCTGCAAAAATGTTCGTTGTGGGCCACATGCAGCCCAGGTGGCGAGTTTGACATGCTTGCTCTAGAGCATGGAAGACATTACTCCATTTTACCTAATTTCAATAGAAGTCATCTTCACTACTCTTGTTGATGACACACGGAATTTATTATAAGATCTGGTGAATGTTATTCTTATTTAAAATTATGTATGATCACAGAGCAAAATATAAAAATGAAAATAGCTTACTAATGACTGAACATGTCATAAATTTATCTTGAGTTTTTTCTTCAAATTTTTCTTTAGCTTTTTTGGACCACTGCAATGTCCCTTTACATGGTTCAATATAGGCCAGCTTACATTTAATTGCCTGTGTCAAACAAAATTGCACCATTAAGAAAGTAAACTTAATTTCTAGTTATTTTAGAATTAAAGTTTATGTGTGTTCAAACTAAACTTTGTGTCTGAATTTAATACATATTCAGAAAATAAATAAATATGGAAGATGCCTATGACAGTACTTTATAAATGCAAATAATTGGAATCAACAGGATACCAGAATAACAAACATACATCAAAAGAATTACAAGAACCTTATGCTACATTATTAAATGAGAAAAGCAGGCTATAGGACTGTATACAGCATAATCCTATAATTGTTAAAAACAGAGACGATGCATATTACAGAAGTACGTTAAAAATATTGAATAAGCCCTAACCAGTTTGGCTCAGTGGATAGAGTGTCAGCCTGCAGACTGAAGGGTCCCAGGTTTGATTCCAGTCAAAGGCATGTACCTTGGTTGCAGGCACATCCCCAGTAGGGGGTGTGCAGGAGGCAGCTGATCGATGTTTCCCTCTCATCAATGTTTCTAACTCTCTATCCCTCTCCCTTCCTCTCTGTAAAAAATATCAATAAAGTATATATTAAAAAATATTGAATAATTCAGAGTGATTCCCCTCATTTTGCTTGTCTATATTTTTAACCTCTTCCTATAACTTTCTACCCATTTTAAAATGAAAAATACTGCCAACAGCAATTCAGAGGATTACAGAAGGCTACATTGTTTTCTTCTTCATTCTTGTAGACATCTCTCTTACTCTTGAACATGTTAGATACACTTAAATATAAATGGGATCACAGTAAAAATACTTCTGTAATGAGCTTTTTTTTTACACATACTCTTCCCACATTATATAGATATTTCAAAATAACATTACAAGCTGCAGACCAGAAAATTCTTATAAAGACACAAATATATATACACATTTGTTTATAATGAATGCTTATTTGCTAAGATACACATTATTTCTTAAACTAGAGGCCTGGTGCACAAAAATCTGTGCACTTGGGGGGATTCCCTCAACCCGGCCTGTGCCCTCCTGCAGTCTGGGACCCCTCGGGGGATGTCTACCTGCTGGCTTAAGCCCGCTCCCTGGGGGATCAGGCCTAAGCTGGCAGTCAGACATCCCTCTGGCAACCCAGGAGGCCTTGGGGGATGTCCACTTGCCAGTGGGGAGCAGGTCTAAGCTGCAGTCGGACATCCTTAGCGCTGCTGAGGAGGTGGGAGAGGCTCCCGCCACCAATGCTGTGCTGGCAGCCATCAGCCTGGCTGTGGCTGAGCAGAGCTCCCCCTGTGGGAGCTCACTGACCATCAGGGGGCAGCTCCTGCATTGAGCGTCTGCCCTCTGGTGGTCAGTGTATGTCATAGTGACCAGTCATTCCCAGTCATTCTGCTGTTAGGGTCAATTTGCATATTACCCTTTTATTATATAGGATAGCAACTAGAACATCTCTATAGTCATGTAACAGAATTTATGTAGAGACAAAAATGTTAGTTACCAGAACATTTCTATGGTGAAATGACTTTTAAAAATACTTTCATATGTGTGCTAATATTCTAAACCTATGATTCACAATAAATAGATTACCTTCTCTGGGGGACTCAGAAATTCATCCTTTATTTTACGCATTTCTTTAAGTGTTATTTTTGCAGTATTGCCAAAGTCCACATATTTAACTTCAACTTCACGATGTCCAGGCAATCCTTCAAAAATTATGAAATTAGAAATCACAAACTTGGAAAGAAAAACCTATCTAGCAAAATTTAGAGTAATCTAAAGTCAACTAATACTTAAAAAATTTTTAAATTGATTTTAGTGAGAGGAAAGGAGAGAGGGAGGAAGGGAGAGGGAGAAAAGGGAAAGGAGGAGAGAAAAAGAAGGAGATGGGGAAAGAGGGTAGGGGGAGAGGGGGAGAGATGTGAGAGAGAAACATTTATGGATTGCCTCCCATACTTGCCCTAGTCAGGGATTGAACCCACAACCTGGGAATCCAACATGCCACCACCTGGTGTACAGGATGACACTCCAACCGAGTCACCCTGACCAAGACAGATTAGAATACTTTTATGTTCAACACGAAGCATAGTAACCTCCATCTTATATGAAAATTGCTGTTTGAAATTTTAACCCTGTTATTTTGGCTTCTGTAAACACCTGCTTGCTTAAATAATAGGGAAAATAAGACTACTCCCATTCCAGAGAGGCCATAAACGATGCCCCAGACAGAGCTGTCAGTGTTGGCACAACCAGGCCTTGAAGATATGGTCTCTTGGCCCCTTCCCAGCACACAGGCCTTCTTTCTCAGAAGGTCTGGAAGTCTCATTCCAAATTTGGGAGACAAAGAACTGGAAAAAGTATCAACAGGGAAAGCTTCCTCCACGTTTTTGCTCAGAATTTGAAAGACATTTTTCTCTGGGCCTGTGCATAATAATAATAATAATAATACTAAAAGTGTAACTCCATTTCTCTAAGCATTGCTTGTTTTTTCTCCGGTCTTCTTAACAAACATACAAACTTAATATTTTTTAAAATGTAAAAAAATATTTCTAATATGTGAACTTAAAAAATCAACCATAATCCATAGTTGTTCAGACTTGGTGACTAAGAAATAAGATATTGAAGGGACAACCAAAATAAGCATAATAAAATAGCTATCAAGTGCTCATGATTATAGCCTAAAAGTTAAGAATTAGACTTTGAATTAGACTGTCTTGGTTAGAACTATAGCTCAGTCACTGATGGGCATGTGACTCTAAGCAAGCTAATTAAAATCTCCAAGGTATTACCCTGAGTAAGTTAATTTTTCTCTCCAACCCTCATTATTTCATCTGTAAAATGTGTATATCAAACAATCAAATCTTGTTCAACTTTTTTTTGAGAATTTACCTATTTAATACATTTTACAGAGCACCAAGCATAAAGCAAGCACTTAATAAGTGTTGATTATCAACACAGGTCATCACACAAGGCAAAAAATTTAATAATAAAAAACTAAGGATTCATTCATATAATATGTAACTATGGAATTTTCAAAATTTATTTTCAGAATATTGTGAAAAAGCAAGTGGAGACAGACCTCTATGTCAATCTAGTCTCTATATTTTAAAGGGTACCAAAGAAACCTCTGGAAGATTCAAATACAATGAAGTTTGAATAAAGACCAATACAACCTGGCTGGTATAGCTCAGTGGTTGAGGGTCAACCCATGAACCAGGAGGTTATGGTTCGATTCCTAGTCAGGGCACTTGCCCAGGTTCAGGCTCTATCCCCAGTAAGAGGCATGCAGGAGGCAGCCTACTGATGATTCTCTCTCATCTTTGATGTTTCTCTCTTCCTCTCTCTCCTTCCCTCTCCCTTCCTTTCTCTGAAAATTAATGAAAACATACTAAAAAAACAGATCAAACACTACTGACCTTTCTTAGAAAAACTCACAATACACAGTTGACTTTAGCTTTTCTCAGAACATGTATACAGTGCTACTAACCTTGTTGCCATCATTTTCAAATTTAAGGACTGATACTATATATGCTCTCAATATGGGAAAAATACAGGCTTTCTTTGCTCCTTAACAGAAGTGGAAAAGGTAGAACAACACCAGCACTCAAGATAACACGTCAAACAACTTAAGCCCTTCCGTAACTGAGGTGACTGGGAGGGGACTTGTCTCTAAAAGGTAAGAAGGTCAGGGAACCTGTCCCCACTTCCACTGGAATCTTCATGTAGAACAGGGGTGGGGAACCTTTTTACTTCCAATGGCCATTTGGATATTTATAACATCATTCACAGGCCACACAAAATTATCAACTTAAAAATTAGCCTGCTATATTTTATCAAACATTTAACTAATTGACCCATAATGCCATGGTCAGGCCAGACCAAATCATTTCATGGGCCTTATATGGCATAAGGGCCCAACATTCCCCATCCCTAATTTAGAAGAATATTCTCAACTGTACCACTACCATTAGAACCTTACCATTCCTCAAGTCTCTGAAGGAAGATGCCGTTTTAAACAAAATAGTCAAAAAGATAAAGGTTGGAATTTAAACAACTTTTTACCCAAATTATTAATCACATGAGAGGTGAGTCAGGAGACATGAAAGGTCTCAAAATTTACCTATCATTTATTTTCTCTGAGGAAACAATCAGAAGATGCTCCACCAAAATAAGAGAGTAAACCGAAGAGGTAAACCTGAGATCCAAGAAACAATGGATCCCATACAGAGAACAGTGAAGTGTATGACCAAGGGAAATAAATTCCCAGGATAACAAAAGTGCAGTAAACATAGGGAGCAAGCATTCTAATTGGAGCAGAAGACAGAAGAAGGTTTTCACAGTTAAAAACTAAATATAAGACTTGTACTCAGAAATATAGAACATGGAAAAAAGAGAAAGAAGACTATATAAACACATGGAAGAATATACTATGTCACGGACTGATAGAATCAACATCATTAAAATGTCCACACTACCCAAAGCAATATATAGATTTAATGCAAGCCCTATTAAAATACAAATAGCATATTTCACAGATCTAGAACAAACACTCCAAAATTTATATGGAAACAAAAAAGGCCCGAATAGCCACAGCAATCGAAAGAAGAACAAAATTGGAGGGATCACAAAACCAGATATCAAGCTATACTATAAACAGCCTGGTGTTGGCTCAAGAACAGACAAATAGATCAATGGAACAGAATAGAGATCCTAGAAATCGACTTAAGCTGTTATGCTCAATTAATCTTCGATAAAGGAGGCAAGAATATACAATGGATTCAAGACAGCCTCTTCAATAAATGGTGTTGGAACTGAACAAGTACATGTAAAAACTGAAACTAGACCACCAATTTAAACCAAACATAAGAATAAACTCAACATGGATAAAAGATTTAAATGTAAGTCGTGAAACCATAAAAATCCTTGTAGAAAACATAGGTAGCAAAATATCAGACATCTCACATAGCAAAATTTTCACTGATATAATACCAGAGAAAAGAAAAAATAAACAAATGGGACTACATTAAAAAAAAAAAAGCACCTGCACACCTAAAGAAATCAGCATCAAAATGAAAAGGGAACCCAGAATATGGGAGAACATATTTGTCAGTGATACATCTAATAAGGGGTTAATATCCAAAATATAGAGTATACTCATAGAAATCAACAAAAGGAAAACAAATAACCCAATAAAAAAAAATGGGCAGAAGACCTAAACAGACACTTCTCCAAAGCAGTCATACAAATGGCCAAGAGACATATGAAAAAATGCTCAACATTACTAATCATTAGAGAGATGCAAATTAAAACAATGAGGTACCACCTCACACCTGTCAAAATTGCTGCTATCAATCAATTAACAAACAAGAAGTGCTGGGGAGGATGTGGAGAAAAAGGAAGCCTAATACACTGCTGGTGGGAATGCAAACTGGTACAGCCACAAGGGAAATCAGTGTGGAGTTTCCTCTAAAAATTAAAAACAGAACTGCCATTTGACCCAGTGTTCCCACTTCTAGGAATATACCTTAAGAAGCCTGAAACACCAATCAGAAAGAACATATGCACCCCTATGTTCATAGCAGTGCTATTTACAATAGCTAAGATTTGGAAACAGCCCTAGTGCCCATCAGTAGATGAGTGGATAAAGAAGCTATGGTACATCTAAACCATGTAATACTATGCAGCAGTAAAAAAGAAGGGTCTCCTACCCTTGGAAACAGTATGGAAGGACCTGGAAGATACTAAACTAAGTGAAATAAGCCAGTCAGAGAAAGACAAGTATCACATGAACTCACTCATATGTGTAATCCAATGAACAAAATAAACTGATGAAAAAAATAGACTCAGAGACATAGAAACATGGAACAGACTGTCAAATCTAGAGGGAAGGCAGGGAGTGGGAAGAGATGAAATAAAGAACTTGTATGCATATATATGCATAACCCATGGACACAGACAGTGGTGTGGTGAAGACCTGGGGTGAGGGGCAGGGGCAGGCTAGACGGGGTCAATGGGGAAAATAAGGGGACATATGTAATCCATTCAGCAATAAAGATAAAAATATATATTAACTAGAGGCCTGGTGCACAGATTAGTGCACCAGTGGGGTCCCTGGGCCTGGCCTGCCCCCTCTCGCAATCCGGGACCCCTCGGCGGCTATTGGAGAGCTGGTTTTGGCCCAATCCCCGCAGGCCAGGCCAAGGGACCCCGCACCAGGCCTCTAGTGTGCATATAAGATCTCTAGTTAATCCCTTCCCTCCCTAAACCCCTCCTTCCTCTCAGATTCATCAGTCTGTTCCATGCCCATGGTTTCAGCTCCTGCGTTGAGCATCTGCCCTCTGGTGGTCAGTGGATGTCATAGCTACCGGTCAGTTAGCAGGTCACTTAGGCTTTTATATATGTAGATTATAAAATAATAAATAAATAAATTTAAAAAAAACTGCTCTGGCCAGTGTTGCTCTGTGATTAGAGTGTTGGCCCCCGTACCTGAAGGGTCATGGGTTTGGTTTCCAGCCAAGGGCATGTACCTGGCTTGCAGGTTCAATCCCCAATCCCAGTTGGGGCATATGCAGGAGGCAACCAATCGATGTCTTTCTCTCACATCGATTTTCTCTCTCTCTCTTCCCATCCTCTCCTTCCCTCTCTAAAAAGCAATGGAAAAATTATCCTCGGGTGAGGATTAAAAAAAAATTAAAAAATTATCTGAAAGTCTAAAAATGTGGAAAACTGTTTTGAAGTATTAGGCAGATGTAGCCAAAAATTAAAAGAAAAAGTAAAAAGTTGATGCAATTATTAACTCAGAATTAAACAAAGTATATTTTATGGTTTACCAATGAAAATAGTTACATAAAATATTAATTTAAGTAAAAACTGTAAGACAACTATGAGGGGACAAAAGAGCTATAAGAGATCTAAAACTTATCTAACAAAATAAGTAACATGTAAGAAAATATCAACAAAGTACTATATGTTATTGAAAAGAAATAACAGGTAGATATCAAAAGAAATGGCTGAGTTAAAATTTTTTGCCTATTAGGAGGAGAGTGGAGTGTAGTCATTTAAGCACTTTTTAACATCTTAAATAAAGCAGACATTAGAAAACAAAAAAATGGTCAAATCAAATGAAATCTAAGGAGCCTCTCAGAGATTCATCTCCCAACATTATTACTAGCTTTCTAAAGACAGATGACAGATAAAAATTATAGATCAAATAATATCACTCCCAAGATTCAATTTACACCTACTCAAATGATATCAGTTCTTAAGCATAACATTTCCTTGTAGAAATAGTGTGCAAAATTGCCTACCAATGACTTTTGCTCGGTACCAAACTCCATCTTCAAATTTGGCTACACATGCTTGATCTTGAACTGGACAGAGAATTTCTAGATTTTCCCCATCTTCACTTTTATAGAAATCTTCAATTGTCTTTAATAGAAATAAAAAATCCAGGCTCTCTATCTAAGAAATAAAGGGATTAAAATATTGCAGTTTCATAGAAACTTAAATTTTTAATGTTGTATATATTATAAAAATGGCTTATAAAATAATGTTAGAATTGAAATTAGATAGAAATTATGTTATATAATTTAAATTTGAAATAACTTATTTCAGAAGAAGCATATAAAACTAGCATAGACATAAAAAATTTTAATCACATTCCTCCAGATATCTTAAATGTAGATCCTTCTATATATTTTCTGACACTTTCCATGCCTTTGTTTTTTTTACAAAAAATGAGCTCATACCATACATACAATTTGACAACTTGCATTTTAAAAAAATCAACTCTCACCTTTCCTATTTCAGTAAGTGTTCTTATTAGTACTTCCAATTTAGATTTCTCCAACCAACCAAAACTAGTATCCAATCCAAGATTACACATATCTGGTTATCTTGGTAAGTCTGGTGTATTCTTTTAAAAATGACCCTGTCTTATTGAAGAATCTGCTATTTTTTTCTGTAGACTGTCCCACCTTTTGGATTTATGTGTTTATGTCTTCATGCTGTTATTTAACTTATTTGTTCACTGAGTTGGGTGTCTTCCCTGAATTTCCTAAAAGATGAAAATTTTATCTACAGGTGTGATGGATCAAAGCCAATGCTTTTTGGCTAGAATATATCATAACTAAAGTTTATGAATGTGCTAAGATTCACATATGGATTGGAGTGATGATTCTAATTCCTGCATTATACAGTGGTCATAAAGTAATTCATGTAGTGCAACTTTGACATTGTGTCCAGTTTCCTATCAACCATTCCATCTAATGGTTTTTAAGTGAATTGATAAAATATTTAAATTAATAATTTCAGTAGGGTTTGTGAAATAGCAGCATTATTGAATAAAATAGAGCTTTCTATTATTAAATGGACTATTTGGTTATCTTTAGGAGGAGAGTGGAGTGTAGTCATTTAAGGAGAGCTGGTTTTGGCCCAATCCCCACAGGCCAAAGTTTTAGATCTCTTATAGCTCTTTTAGATAAGTTTTAGATCTCTTATAGCTCTATTAGGAACTATAGTTCCTAAATTTCCTATAGTACCTACAACATAGTTCTTAAAACAAAACAAAAGGATAAACATTTGATTATTTTTCCAAATATCAATTCTTAAGGTTAAAAAATCCATCTCAATTGGGAAAAAAAAAGTTTTCTCTCTTTTGAGTATAAAAATGCAAGTGGAAATTTTCTGAACCTCTCTTTTATCATTTCATTTAAGTTGCCTTAAAACTACTTTAAACACTTTGATCTTTTATATTTAAGTACATTATTACTCATATTCTTCCATTAACAGGTGATCAAAAGTGAACACTGGAAAATTCAATAGAGGATGACAATCAGCAAGATAGCAAACTAGGAAGCTCCAAGCTATCATGCTTCCATAGAAACATTGAAAAAATCTAGAAATTATTGGAACAAACTTTATCAGAGCTCTGAAAAACAGCCAAAGGTTTACAGCAACCAAGCAAACATCAATCAAATTCTTCGTGTTAAAAAATCTCTTCAAAACATTTGCTGAACAGAGATCTCAGTGATCACACACAAGGAATAATCTTTGCAAAAAATAGTTCTGAAAAGTCTCAAACCAACAACTACAGTCTTCAACAATTTAAAAAAAGAATCCAGCAAACCTGGGGAATCTGATTTTCAGAATGCACACAAAATAAACAGATAAAAAATGTCACTGAAGAAGCCCAGATAGTGGACTTACTAGACTTAAGGACAAATGTCTTAACTATGCTCAAAGAGTTAAAGGAAAACCTGAACAACTAGAAAAAAAAACAGGAAAACAATAAAGAACCAACATTAAAATACCAACAAAACAGCAGAAGCTATATAAAGGAATAAAACAGAAATTATGCAGCAAAATAGTACAACTGAAATAAAAAATATACTAGAAAGTTCAAGACCAGATCTGAGCAAGCATAAGAAAGAATCAGTGAATATAAAGATACGACAATTGAAATCATTCAGGGAGGAGCAGTAAGAAAATGCAATGAAGTGAACAAGAGACTAAGGGACCTATGGTACACTATTGAACACACAATATGGGAGTCCCAGATGGAGAAGAGAGAAAGAAGTAGAAGATTATTTGAAGAAATAATGCACCAAACTTTCCAAATTTGATGGAAGATATGACTTACAAATCTAAGCAGCTCTATTTTATGGGTTGAATTGTGCCTCTCCAAAAAAGATATGTTAGAGTCATAACCCTGTAGCTCAGAATCTGACTTTATTTAGAGATAAGTAGGGTCTTCCACAGAGATAATCAAGTTAAAATAAGGTCACATGGTAGGATTTAATCCAATATGATTGATGTCCTATTTAGAGGAGTACATTTGGGCAGAGAGACAAACACACAGGAGATGTGAAGATGAAGACACAGACTGGGGTGAAGCAAAAGTCATGGAACACCAAAAGTTTCTAGTGAACCACTATAAGCTAGTAGAAGGGAATGGAATAGATACTCACTCACAGGTCTCAGAAGAAACCAACCCTACTGATAAATTGATCTTGCACTTCTAGATCCGAACTGTGAGACAATAAATTTATGTTGTTTAAGTCACTTAACTTGTGGAATTCTATTATGACAGTCCTAAGAAATGAATGCAGATTTTAGTTCTGGAAAGTAGGGTGTGAATGTAACAAATACCTAAAATGTGGGAGTGGCTTTGGAACTGGGTAATGGGTAGAAGAAGAGGAGTTCTAAGATGATTGAATGAAAAAGTACAGATTACCTTGAAAAGACTGTTGGTAGAAATATGAACATTAATGGTGTTTCTGGTGAGATCTTAGAAGTGAGGAACATATTATTGAAAACAAGAGGAAAGGCAATTCTTGTTTTAAAGTGATAGAGAATGGGACTGAATTATATTCTGTTGGATAGAAAGTAGAACTTGGATATTTAACTGAGGAGAATTTTAAGCAAAGTGCTGAAGTACAGCCTGCTTTATCCTTGTTCATTCTAATAAAATGTGAGAGGACAGAGATAAAATGAAGGAGGAACTGTAAAACATAAAAGAACCAATAGCTGATAAAGCTCTTGGCCATGAATGTGGGTTATCTTTCAAGAAACAGGAAGAATGACCCTGAAGTTCAGAGACTGGTGTGTCTGCCACTGCCACCACAGGCCCAGAAGGCATAGGACTGAGAGGCAGTCTTCCTCTGTTCTGGGGGTGGGGCCTCCTCCTGGGTTCCAGAGAGTGAGACAAGGACCCAATGTATGAGGCTGCTGTCAGGGCTGAGGGGACAAGACCACCACCCCAGTGGGATTAAAGGACAGAGAATCTAGCAAAAGAAAATTATTTTCAAGTCATAAGAATCTAACAAAACTTTCCCTGCCAGGTTTTGGACTTTATTTTTGAAAGTATTACATATACCTCCTTTATCCCCCATTGACCTCTCCAAGACTGCTCCCATCCTCACCCCGGGCCTTCACCAACCTATTTTCTGTGTCCAGGGGTTATGCATATAAGTTCATTGGTTGATCTCTTCCCACCCACTCACCCTCCACTGCCTTCCCTCTGAGCTTTCACAGTCTGTTCAATGCTTCTATGTTTCTGGATCTATTTTGTCGATCAGTCTACTTTGCCCATTAGATTCTACATATGAGTGAGATCATGTGATACTTATCTTTGTCTGACTGGCTTATTTCGCTTAGCATAATGCTCTGCAGTTGCAAATGGTTAAGAGTTCTTTCTTTTTTTATAGCTGTGTAGTATTCCAGTGTAGATATACATTTTTTAATCCACTCACCTGCTGATGCTGTTTCCAAATCTTAGCTATTGTAAACTGTGCAGCTATGAACATAGAGGTGCATATATTCTTTCTGGTTGGTGTTT